AGGTCCCATCATATGACGTTGTTTAAGAGCATCCCAACTCTACCCAATTGCATGGAATGTGCAGACACTGTTGGAGACAGACAACCCCTCAGGTAGCTAGGGCTATGTTATGAAGGGCTTTATAAACAGTAACCAGCACTTAAGCACATCTGGCAATCAGTAGAGGTGATGAAGCAGTGATATTGCATATGCATCCCATGCAGGCCCATTACTGTCCATACTGCTATCTTATGGACTAAGAGGGCAGTCCTATGTAGAGCAGGTTGCAACAGTCTATATGCAATATGACCAGGGCATGAATTATTTGTTCAGGAACAGTAGCAATGGCATACAAGATGGGCCTGATTTTACTGGCCACAGCTGCCCCTTGCTCTTCAAGTAAGAGCTGCAAGTCTAGGGCAGTGTTTCTCAACCTTGACAATTTTAAGGCATGTGGACTTCAACTCCCAGAATTCCACAGCGAGCATTGCTGCTGTTGAATTCTGGGAGTTGAAGTCCACATGCCTTAAAATTGTCAAGGTTGAGAAATACTGGTCTAGGGGAACAGTAGAGTGGAGGTGGTTGATCGAATAACAACAGATCCCACTTCTCTCCCCTCTGGCCCCACCCTCCCCATGTGTCCTTGGGTTTTAATGTTTGATTTTAATTATGTTTTAATTGTATATGTAGAGACATATTTTTATGACTGTGAGCTGCCTGGAGTTACCCAAAAATTTTATAAATAAATAAATAAATAAAACAAATTCCCATCAATCTCAAATGGAGAAGTGCATCTAACCCTAAAATTGAAAGTCTCTGGAATTAGGTGGGTCCAATACTGATAGCCAATCCATGTTACAAGAGTTGATCTGAATCGTTTTCTCCTTGTTCAGACCTTCACAATCTCCAGGCACTGGGACAAGATCTTGATAGCATCCCTTGGTCAGCCCAGGTTCAAAATACACAGATGGGAATCATCAACATGCTTTAAGTTGATGGACGACTTTACCCAGGAATAATGTCAAGCTTTGGAATACTTCATACATTAGGGGGGGTTAGGCTTGAACTTTCCCCTCCTGCCCACACTGATTGGAGCCACCCATATAGATAGAGGAACACTTAAAATATAATCCCTTCTTAATCAAGATAGGGTAGTTGTAAAACGACACAGACAACCTATAAGACTAGTATTGTGTTCCCTACATTTTAAGAAAGTTTTTTTTACCATACTAAAATGCTTAATAAATTTTATGACACTGGACTTCCGGTGGTGACAGGCTGCATTGCATGGCGGCTTTTGTTAGCCGCCCGCCTGGGAGCGCGTCAAAGCCTGAAGAGACAGCGTTCGTTAGCTGTCTCTCGGCTCGGAACCTCGTCCCTCGGGCAAAGAGGGGGGGTGAGCAAGTCCGGATAGGGCTCGAGCTTCCTCTCACCCCGGTTTTGTTATAATCGGGGTTGAGAGATGCTAGCTCGCCCGGAGTCTGGACGGTCTCCGCGCCCTATGGCGCCTTCGCTCCTCTTTTGGAGCGAAGCCAGATACAGCTCCCACCTCTGCTGTTGGAAGGTATTTGGACTTAAATTTTAAGCAGACGGAACTAAGCAGGAGGTTCGGATTTACAGTGGATTGTTTCTGACTTTGACTCTGAAATATATTAACATCTTCTTTATTTTGTGGTGATTTAAAGTGAGAGAAAATGGCTGCGGACTTGCCGTTTCTCTGGAATACTTTCGTTTGTTTNTTTTTTCTTTTAGAGCACCCTGTCGGCCCAAATATGGGAAAGAGAAGTCTTTGGGCCGACAGGGTGCTCTAAAAGAAAAAAGCATTCATCCTCTTCCCCTGTCTCTTGTAGCTAACTAAGTGAGAAAGAGCCTGTGGCCTAGTGGCTAACATCTCTGCTTAACATGCAGACAGCCCAGGTTCGAATCTCAGAAGGGTATGTCTGGCTGATGAAAACCAAATAAGGTTTGAAATAGCCACTAGGCCACAGGCTCTTTCTCACTTTGTTAGCTACAAGAGACAGGGGAAGAGGATGAATGCTTTTGTTTGAACACCCTGTCGGCCCAAAGATTTCTCCTTCCCATATTTGGGCCGACAGGGTGTTCATATGAAGAGGATGCTTTCAATGGTCTGGGATGCTTGCAAAGCATACATGAGAGGAAATTTGATTTATATGAATAATGTTTATAGGCGTAAACAAGTGCAAAAACGTAAAGAGTTGGAGGAAGAAATTAAATTGAAAGAACAGGCCTTTATTTTGAATCCACTGGATAATAATTTAAAAGTATCCATTACTGTGCTTAGGGAACAATTTAACATGTTAATAGCAGATCAGATGGCAACTAGTTTAAGGTATATGAAATATAACACATTTTCTAATGCAAATAAACCAGGAAGGTGGTTGGCTTATCAATTATGAAAGAAGCAGAAATCAAAAATTATAGAGAAAATAGATTATAATGGCAAAATGACATCTCAACAAAATTTGATTAAAAAGAGTTTTTTGGATTTTTATTCTAAGTTATATGCTTCTGAAAAAATACAAGATGAACAAATAGATAATTACTTACAGGAGGCACACTTTCCTAGATTGTCAGATAATCAAAGGGAAAAAATGAACTGCCCAATTACATTGGAGGAGATAAAGGGGGCAATTAAGCAATTAAAACTTGGTAAGGCACCAGGTACAGATGGATTTACAGCAATTTATTATAAGATGTTATCGGAAGAAATGATAGAACCATTAAGGGAATTGTTTAATAGTATTTTGTTGGGTGAAGTGGTACCTCCTTCCTGGAGAACTGCTTTTATATCTTTAATACCTAAGGAGGGTCAGGATTTGACCCAACCTAAGAATTATAGACCTATATCTTTATTGAATACAGATTATAAGGTTTTTCAAAAGTACTGGCAAATAGATTAATGCAAGTGTTGAATCAATTGATTCATAGTGATCAATCAGGATTTATAACTGGAAGATATATGAAATATAATGTAAGACAAATTATTAATTTAATTGAATATTTGGATAAGAATAATCAAACTCCTGCTGCTTTTATCTTTTTAGATGCTGAAAAAGCATTTGATCAATTAGACTGGGGTTTTTTGTTTCAAGTTATAGATAGAATGAATTTTGGGGGGGAATTTTTGACCGCCCTTAAGGCTATTTATCAGCAGCAATCAGCACAGATTATAGTTAATGGGGGGGTAACAGAAGCATTTAAAATTGAAAAAGGAACTAGACAAGGATGTCCATTATCTCCATTGTTATTTGTGTTAACAATGGAGATTCTGTTAATTAAAATTCGGGAGTCTTCTATAATAAAAGGAATTAAGGTTAATAAGATTGAGTATAGATTAAGAGCTTTTGCAGNATTTTTATAAAATGTTTTATAGGTGGCATCTGGATCCTCAAAAATTGTCTTGTATGTACCCCAATTTACAACCTAAGTGTTGGAGATGTGGAAATTTAGATGCATCTTATTTTCATATTTGGTGGACATGTAGGGAAGTTAAAGCATTTTGGATTAAGATATGGTGGAATACTCAAAATATTTTTAAGAAAAAGATAAAAGTTTAAGCCGCAGATATTTTTGTTGGGTATTATGGAAGACTTGGATGCAAAAGAAATGGAATTGATGTTGAACTTTATAACTGCTGCAAGACTATTAGTAGCTCAATATAGGAAAACGGATCGTTTACCTACTATAGAAGAATGGTCACTTAAAGTCTCGAATTTAGCAGAAATGGCCAAGATTTCCGCTTATGTGACGGATCATTCGCAAGAAAGATATATTTTGGTTTGGAGAAGATGGATAGATTATATTGAGCGTAAATATGGGACTAAAAAATATCATTTGGTTTTTGAGTAAATTTTAGAGTATTATTGTTGTGCAAAGGTTAGAATATTTTATTTAGTATTATTTCTAATTATTAAGTGTTATTATTATTGTTTTTAATAATTGTACTGTTTAAAAGAGAGTTAAAGGAGGTTATAGATATGTTATTTTAATAGTTGATTAATGTTAATTAGAGTATGATTATGTTATTGTTAACCCTGTGATTGGCACTGGGAAGTGAGGGGGAGGGGGGGTGGAAGGGTGGGAAGGGGAAAGGGGGATTTATATTGTAAAATTTTATAAAATTTTCAATAAAAAAAAAAAAAAGTTCAGAAAGACCCAGATTGGAAAAGCCTGCTCTACTGAATAAGTAGAACAACTTTTCTTGGGATTTAATCTTGAGAAGTTATGAATTGTATCAGGTGGCATAAATAATCAAAAAGTTAGTTCCTATTCCATTTGCCAAGGCGTATGCTTTAAAAAGTACAGTATTTGTTCTAAATCTGCATATACACATTTTATATGCTACCATATAAACCCACGATCAGGCAGAAGGTGGGACAGGGGCTCCACCCGGGCCTCTTCTGCCAAATGCCATTCAAGGGCAGTCTGATTAGTACTGAGCGGAGTTGCCTATTCGGCATGGCTTGTTGTCTTCGGCTTAAGCCAAATTATAAAACCAACCAGCCTGATCTTCACCGCGGTTGCTGCTCCACACGCCTTCAACTCCGGAACCTTGACGCAAAAGTTATTCCGGCTGAACGCTCCTTGGACGAGTCTTCTAAACAGCGTATGCGCCGGAGCAGAGGCAGCCGGCGCTGGCAGTAGGAGTGAGGCGCGAATATATCTTATCTCCTCCCAAATTTCGTAGCACTGTGAGAATCGCTCGCGGTCGGCCTTCTTGGCGGGCCTCAGAGATTCATAACTAGGACTGGAGCAAGAGGGCGGCCTCAAGGGAGAATCGCGGGCGGGGCGGATCTCTCCACGCCACTGGACACAAAGCGCCGGCGCCGCCTCCGCTTTGTGGGCGCAAAAAGCCCTTGAGAAGGAGGCGTCCGCAAAGATCGCCCAGTCCTTCCTCTCCCCTTTTTTTAGCGAATGACTCGGATATTTCCCAACCTGCCGGCAGCAGCTACAATCTACAGCAAGGGCCGGAGCTGCCTCAGAACCTCCCTGCGAACTCCATGGAGAAGGCAGCTACAGCGGTGCAAAGCCCCGGGGACAACGTGTCAGCGGCCGCGGCTACAGCTAGCAGCAGCGGTGGAGGCAGTAACAGTAGCAGCCGGAGTAGTAGTCGCCCCACGTCAGCGGGCTCCTCGCCTTCCTCTTCTACCAGTCGGGGTCTCTCGGGCCGGCAAGCAGGAGCGGTGGCCGCAGCAGTGGCCGCGAGGCCGGATGGAGGAAGCAGCAGCAGCCCCAGTTCAACTGCGGCCAGTCCAGGAGGGGGCTGTGGCGGCGGTGCTCCCGGGGGACTGGCGGCTGGCAGGAGAACGGAGGCAGTTCTGGAGGGGACTTTGAGCAAATATACCAACCTCATCCAAGGTTGGCAAAGCAGGTACTAAGGAGAGAGGGTTGTTTGCACGGTGGTGAAAAGAACCCCTTGGTCTTCACTGTTAAGAGAAAGAATACAGACTAACTCCCACTCCCTGCCTTGCCCCCGCTTTTTCGAACTTGCGGACTTGCTAAGGTGTGGCGCCGACGATCATTTATTTCTCTTTCTTTCCACTCTTACAAATACTTTTTCTTTAGATTGATGCTCATCCTAAAGGTTATGGGACCCAGCATATAATTTCTCTAACTTTTATTTTTCTGCTTTCCATTCGTCTTCCTAGGATCTTTTTTCTCTCAAATGGGCTGATGCTGTGGAAATTCTCCGCACACAGGACAGTCAGATGTCTGATTGCTTTTAAGGTGTCAAAAATTGCTACTTCCCAAAAAAGTTTCACTAAAAACTGTCACTGCATCATGGTGTATTTCTGAACCTGCGTTTGATGTCTTCTGGTTGTTAAGCTGGCTGTGTCCATCTAACACTTTACTTTGTTGGAGACCTGACATTGTCTGGTGCAAGCTTAACTTTAGTTTTTAATGTGGTATTAAGGCTTTTGAAAATCCAAAAAGCTAGTGGCTGCCATTTGTAAATTTTCCTGCAATGGACACAGTATGCCAGAAATGAGTAAATTGGTCAGGTAAATAACTGACTACTTATGACTATATACTGAAGGTAAAGGCTACAGTATAGAGTTTCCTATTGGCTTTTTAAAAAATTAGAAAAAAATGAAAGAATCTGCAGTTGGACAATAGGATCATGAAGATAAATCAAAATAGTGAAATACTGCACTAATGTGTTTGGAAGCAAAGTTAAAGACCTTTGAAGTAACAGCCATTATCACTTAAAATGATTATTCAGTCACTGAATAACGATTCAATCATCACTTTTGGTGCTTTGTGGTATTTTGGTTAGTTAAAAACTGCTCATCTGTGGGGAGATACATCTATATCTACATAGTTTGCTCAATAAGTTACTATGAGAGAAGATAGTACTGGATATTCTACTTGGCTAATACAAATTAAGCAAAGTGAATCCTGATTTTGTTTTAAAAAATGATCCTGGAATATAAAACTGACAAGTTGGCATCAGATTACAAAAATGTGAGAGTGCTCCTATAATTACTGGCAGAAAATACTGTTTCATTCCCATTTTACCCTTATTTGCTTGAATATTACATTGAAAGAAAACATTCTAATTCTTTCAATAAATATTATTTCACCTAGAATTTAAATCAGTATTGAATAATCACAGAAGTATTAACCGTTGACTGTTCTAATTTAATTTTCTATACTTTATAATTCTTGAATATTAATAATTGCTTTAAAATGATGAAATATTGCCATTTTGGCAGATCATAAGAGTTGGAAGACTTGGTGGCGTTGGATTGAAACTATTATGCATATTTTTCTCTGCAAATAATGCCTTTATGATTGTTGATGTTACAAACGCCATCAAGGGGACATATATTTCTTGGAAGGTGAAATAGAAGGAACTGTAGTAAAAAATCCTATGATTTATGTATTGAAAAACAAATCTTAAATGATATCCATATCTTGCCTTTTTTACAGTATTTACTAAGTAAAGTAAAATAAAAAATGTTCCCTTATTTGTATAAATATGGAGTTGAATGGTACCAATTTTTTCAAGTGGAATAGCTTCTGGCAGTAGTATTAGCATTGGCAAAATCATTCTGATTGTGGATGAATTATGCCTGAGTGCAACAATTGTCTATTACATCTTCATATTATAAATAGCTGGTGGATGATTTTTTAAAATTATTGTAGCTGAAGTTCTATTTTTCTGATAATAAAGTGAAGAAAAGATGCATATTTTATTAACTGATCAAATAGTAAATTGACAGAGACACATAGTACATCAGTATAACCTTTAAGGAACTTGTTCCATAAATAAACTGGTTGGAGATAGATTTTAGGAAAAGGATCCAAGAACAGACCCCATTGTCTTCCTGGCCTAATAACATTTTTTATCAGTTCTATTGTATGATGTTACAGCTAGTGGGCGGATCAGGCCCCCTTTTTGATAAAATCTAATTAGGTAAAGGAATAGTCAGATACTCTTCTTTATCTTACACCACCGGTGTTGTTTTCTTAGTAAGGAACTTGAGATTTTTTAATTGGTATCAACTTAATGCTGTCAAACAAAAGTGTTTCACAGAATGTGCACTCTGATTTTAAATGGATTTGCCCTAAAGTATCTAGAAATAATGATTTCAAAGCAGATACTATATTTTCCATTTTCCTGCTTCCTAATTGTTCTGCAGGAAAGAAATAAAGGGTTTCTTTTCTGTAGCAGACTGTTTACTAAGCAATCTGCAAACACTGTTAAAAGTTCAGGAAACTCTCAGATACAGAATGAAGAGTCACATTATTCCTTATGTAAAGGTCTGTAGTGATATGTATATCTAAATAGTGGATTATTTTTCTTTGTGTTTACAAACAAAATACTATACATGCCTATTAGAGAGCAGCACATAGGAAGAAAACCAGCAGATATTTTTTAAAATTTCTTTTTTAAGTAGGACGAAAGGAACTACAGATAGTCGTTGACTTACAACAGTTTGTTTACTGACTGAAGTTATAACAGCGCTGAAAAAAGTGACTGATGACTATTTTTCATACTACAGCATCCCCATGGTCATGAGATCAGAATTCGCACACTTGGCAACTAGCTCATATTTATGACAGTTGCAGTGACCCTGTTGCGATGACAGTTGCATATGATCACCTTTTGTGACTTTCTGACAAGCAGAGTTAATGGGGAAGCAACAACCGTGTTATTAACTTAACTACTGCGGTTACAAGAAAAGTCGTATAATGGGGCGAAACTCACTTAACAAATGTTTCAATTAGCAAGGGAAATTTGGGGTTCATTTGTAGTTGTAAGTTGAGGACTATCTGTATAGGGAATCTTCGACTTAAAAGAAAATTGGAACCAGAATTTTCATTGTTAAATAAAGCAGTTAAGTGAGTCATGGTTGATTTTATGACCCTTTTTTGCCAAGGTTGTTAAGCAAATTGCTGCTGTCATTAAGTAAATCATGCAGTAGTTAAGTGAATCCAGCTTCTCCTATTGACTGTACTTGCCAGAAGCTAGCTGGGAAAGTCACCAATGATGATTACATGACCCCCAGGACCCTGCAACTATCATAAATACATGCTAGTTGCTCAAGTGCCTAAATTTTAATGTGACCATAGGTATGTTGCAACAGTCTAAGGCCAAGGATCATTTGTAGGTCACTTTTTTCAATGCTGATGTAACTTTGAGCAGTTGCTAAATGAAAGATTGTAAGTCGAGGACTATGTATAGAGCAGTGTGGGGAAGAGAGACTTAGTCCACAGCCTTCTCATTCTATTCTGATAGCGCTACTGCATTCCCTAACTTTAAATAAGCTAGTTTTTTCAACTTGGAAAGTGTTGTATTCTCATGTAATTTTAAAATGCTTGCTAAGTGTTTTTTGTTCTGTGGCATTATCTCTGTTTCTGATTCTTAAGATCAACAAAGATATTTGAGGCTTGAGCTTTACCAGTCCTGACTATTGAATGGTTGTCTCACTATTTACTATTAATTCCAAAGGAATTCAGCTCTAGTGTGTTAAATATAAACATTCATCTGAGGGCACATGGTATAGTATGGTAATCCATGAAAGTTTATGCTGTAACTTGATGTTATTTAAGATGTCACAGGACCCCTTCTTCTTTATGTTGCAATTGCTGCCTCTCTGGAAGTTGTCTTAAATAAGGACATTTTTAGGAAAAACTATTCATTCGTAACTTTTGTTAATTTGTTAAAACTCTCATTTGTGTAATTGTTTCTTGTTTTAAACAGTAAATGATTTGAGTTTTTTAAAATCTGTTTTGTATGAAACCATTTTAGAGGTTTTGTGCAAATCAAATACAGGTAGTAACTGACTTACAACCACTTGTTCAGTAGTTGCATTGAATGAAGAGGATTTGCAATTAGTCTGCATAATAGCAGCACTTTGAGACCATCTGATTGTAGTTCATTTAATGACTGTTCAAAGTTATAGCAACACTGAAAAAAGTGACTTATTGCCATTTTTCATATTTATGATCATTGTAACATCTCCATGGTTATGTGATTTACATTCTGATGCTTGACCGTGTCCTGGGGTCATGTGATCACCTTTTACGACCTGACAAGCAAAGTCAATGGGGAAACCAGGTTCACTTAACAACCATATTACTAATTTAACAGCTGTAGTGATTCACTTAACAAATGAGGCAAGACAAGTAATAAATTGGGGGAAAAATCACTTAACAAATTTCTCACTTAACAACATAAATTTTGGGCTTAATTGTGGTTATAAGATGAGAACTATCTATAAAAGTATGATTCTACTACTAAGTTAAAGAGTTGGTTTTGGGGGAAAGCTAGGCAGAAATGTTATACTCCTGCTGACTGTGTAGGCCAGGGGTCTTCAAACTTGGCCCTTTTATGACTTGTGGACTTCAATTCCCAGAATTCCTCAGTCAGCGTGCCTGGCTGAGGAATTCTGAAAGTTGAAGTCCACAAGTCATAAAAGGGCCAAGTTTGAAGACCCCTGGTGTAGGCTTTTTGCAAGTAACTGTTGGCCACTCTAGCAATAGAATGTAGAAGTACTTTTCATCTATGGTATCAGGAGGACCTTTCTGTATTTATACCATTCTGTTTCTCCTGAATGTTGTTGTTCTTCTGGTATTTATAAGGAGATAAGAATAGTCCTGCTGGGTCAGGACCAGCCCTTCCATTAGTCTAACTTTTTTTGTTTTAAGTAAATTTAAAGTGGCTCACTGCTCATGTGCCTCAATAATTCTTGCATACTTAGCTTAAATTACAGTGCATTTTACACTTAGTTAATCAACCTGAAGACATCTAGCCTTTTATGCAGGAACTCAAAATGATGTACAAAGTGCTCCTTCCTTCTATTTTTTAAAATTTGTTATTTATTTGTACTGGATACCCACAATAACCTTACCTTGTCAGGT